GGAGATTTCAGCACACACCAAGGCAATGGATTTCCACTGTTGAATAGCTTTTACTGTCAGGACACTCTTCCTAATGTTTAGGTGGAATCTCTTTCCTTGTAGCTTGAATCCATTGCTCTGTATCCTATTCTCTGGAGCTGCAGAAAACAAACTTGCTTCATCTTCAGTATGACAGGACTTCAAATATTTAAACAAGGCAATCATATCACCTCTTAACCTTCACTTTTCCAGGCTGAACATACCCAGCTCCCTAAGCTGCTCCTCATAGAGCATGGTTTCCAGATCTTTCACCATTTTGGACACACTCCAGTTTGTCAATCCTTCTTGAATTGTAATGCCCTGGACACAATATTCTGGGTGAGGACTGACCAAACCAGAATAGAGTGGCACTATTATTTCCCTCGATCTAGACACTACTATACTCCTGCTGATGCATCCTAGGATTATATTGGCTTTCTTTGTTGATGTATCACATTGCTGTCATGTTCAGCCTGTGGTCTACTAAGAATCCTAGATCCCTTTTGCATGTACTGCCGTCATGATAGTGATCAAACAAAGTGACCATGATAGTGACCAAAGCTGCCCCGCTTGACCCCAAAGAGGCAGGGTATAAATAATAATAATAATAATAATAATAATAATAATAATAATAATAATAAACATAAAAATGGCACATTTTATTTCTTTAGCACATTTTTATTTAAAGACAATGTGAGCAAAACAGTCTGGGAACCACGAAAACTTGCTTCAAGGCTTGGAGAGGGCAGTATGCCAGTCAGAAGGGCATATCTGCTATTTTTGCTTTGAATAGCCACCCATGAGTTAGGAGGAGATGGAGAAAAGGTCACAGAGGAAGGCACATTCATCTAGTGAATACTTTTGGAAGGGGAGAAAGAAACAAGAACATCACATTGCATTGAATTGTAGTAGTCAACAGGATTCAAGTAGAAGTTCTATCAGAGCAGAGAGAACTTGGATTTTTTTTTTTAGCACATTGATTAAGGTATTTCTCTACTAGCTTTCTGCAAGGTGGCTCAAAATTAAGAGTGATAAAATGCACTCTGAGGGGATCTAAATCCAACTGTTCTGAATTTCTTTCAGTTTGATGTTTTGTGTGAGTGGAATTGAAATGTCATGGGTGCTCACTGGATATGCATGATAATTTACTAGAAGGTGAAACAGAGAAGAAGTGGAGAAGAGGAACAATTACCAGCTCCATTCTCACTTTAACTCTGTCTCCAACATAGGGATGGGCAAAATGAGGCCTTCTAGATGTTGTTGGACTAGAACTCCCAGCACTGTTCATCTTGCTGCCCCAGGATGATGAGAATCAAACTTCAACAACCTCTTGAAGACTGCACTTTGACCACCCTTGTTCTACAAGACGATTAGATCTAGCTTATGGGCTCTCTCCCTCCCCTTTTTGCTGCTCCTTAAAAATATAAAATCCAAATTCCTGGATATTTTTTCTTTTTTGGTTTTGTTTTCTTGCAAAGCAAGCTACCGGTATTCAAGTTGCAAACTATGTGATCAAAGGGGAATTGATGTTTCCCTGAAGTAAAAGTGGCTTATGCAGAAACCATAGCTTAGTGGAAAAGCACATATTTTGCATTCAGAATGTCTCAGGTTCATGCCTTTGTACTACAAGTTAAGAGGAAGATGAAAGAGGTAGGGGATGATGGGAACTATAGTCCAAAAGTAACTTTCTGAAACTCTGTGGCTTCTATGGAGTGCAACTGGATTCTCCATATCTCTCTTCCTTTGACCTGATTTCATGCAATCAAGGTGCCACAAGACAAAATACATTACTGTGACCATATCTATGAAGTGTCTCTTAATGTTTTCTCCTTGCTTCTTGGCACAGCTAGATAAGTCCATCCTTCTGTGTAAAGTAAGGTTTATTAAGTTGCCAGTTTAAAATTAAGTACACTACATTTTATTAATCTTTATATATACGGTATTATAAAAAGGTACAACACACACATACAAAACCAATTCATTTTTCAATTTCAATTCATAACTGCATATTAAAAAAAGAACAAATTCCAGAATGGGTAGTATTCCTGTTTGTCTCCATATGGCAAACTGGACTTATGAACATTTGATCAATTTGAAATCATTTTCATTTTTATGGCTTCCACCAAGGAGTTGAGGTGGATGGCTGATCATTTTCTGTAGTCCTTTGCCATGGATTGCTTATTCCTAGGGTACCCTGAGAAAAGGAAATGGATGTTGAACCAGCATATAATAAATATAATAGTGTGGTGTAGTATTTGAGTGTTGGAGTAGGACACTGGGAGATCAGGGTTCAAATCCCTGCTCAGCCATGACCTTGGGCAAGTCACACACTCTCAGCCTCAGAGGAAAGCAAAGGCAAACCTTTCTATGAACAAATTCTGCCAAGAAAACCACATAATAGGTTTGCCTTAGGTTTGCCATAAGTCAGAAGTGACTTGAAGGCACACAACACCACCAAAAAGTAGATGTGTACATACTGGATAATTATTATTATTATTATTTTCTTTTTGCATAAGACCATGCATGAAAAATCATTTGACATAGGTCTTGTTTTCTGTATGTACATGTAACCAATACATCCCTGCAATGAATGTACAAGTTGCTTTTCTGTAGTCCTTCTCCATAGAACATTAATACCCAGAGTGATCTGGGAAGAGGAAATGGATGTTGAACCACCATATAATGTTACGCAAACATCTTTAAGTATTGACCAAATCAAGCAGTCTTACCATTTTCAACATTGAGTGCACTATGGCAATATTTCTAACTGCAACAACTTTTGATGTCTATGTATGGACCCTCAGCTTTGAATGTTTCAGCCATTCCTGTTGTTCTGGAAGCATTAATTACATCCTTAGAGAAATGGAAACCAACACATCTACTGTAGTTTATAGATGCTTATTGGAAAGTACTATATTAGATGTTAATGAAATTAGAATGGGATGAGTCTAAGCATTAGATCATCCTGTACAAATCAAACAATGGAGTTGACCTTGCTTCAATATCTAAAATTGCATTAGATTTAAAACCTCAGTTGGTTCAGCAAAAATAATAAAAATAATAAAAATTGATGTTTGGTGTATCTATTCTGGATACTGTTGCACCTATTTAGAAAGTATTTTTCTTCTTCAGCTATATCTGTGGCAATGTAATACTGATAATGCTTCCCTGTGTTATAATATTTGGCCATGTTCAGTGGTTATACTGTTTTGGCTGGATGTATTATAACATATCCATTTTGTAGTGGAAATAAAATCTTTGAAATTTATAGACATGCATGTTCATTTAAATTATATCCCGGGGACATGGAACTTAACAAATGGTCAAAAAATCCTGCATGTTCTTACTCTCGACAAAAGACTTGCACTCCAAGGCTGGAAAGACAAACATTCTCCATCTATTCTTCAATGGTCAGAAGATCTCAGTCATTTAGCTACCCATGAACATTTATTCTTTAGATGCCAACTTCAAGAAAATGTGTTTCTGGAAATGTAGTCAGCTTACATTAATATATATGCATAGCTCACACTCATCTCCTATGCACTCCCTCCTTCCCCCTTTTCTTCTTGTTCTTTTCCCCTATTCCTTCATTTTTCTGCCAACCTTATTTTTTAAAAAAAAAATCCAATAAAATTAAGCACTCATGTATTTTGCATTCTGTGCATTTACGTAGATGGCAGTTTCTTTGTAAGCACATTTGAAGTGTACCTAACTGTGTACAGTATTTTTTCCCTCAATTTATTCAACCCCTCTCCTTTTCCCTCTCTCCCATCTTCCTTCTACGAGGTAATTAAGTATCCACACAGCACAATTAAAGCAGTCTGATACCATTTTAA